TTCGGAATCAGTGGACATTATGGACATTATTAAATGTTATTTAAGGAATAAAACAATTTAAGTGCTATTTAGAGAAATTAATTAAGTTTTAGTGCTATTTAGTGCAAATATTTCTTAATTATTAGCATTAATAACCTGATGTGTTTAATTAATAATTATTTGATGGACATAATTATTTTTGTGATCTAATTAGGGTTTAACACTAATCTCACGCATCTCCTTCGCCTCTTTATATTTGGTAATTATCAACTGTGACTTGACCTACATAACCTTTACCGCAGGACAATTGATGCACACATGACCAACACACTTCAATCATAATGAAGATACATCCTAAACGGGAACACGATTCGCATTTGAACCATAGTGTCTTCATCTCTTATCATGTTTACAGGATTATCGGGTACACGTGATTTAAGTCATATTTTTTGACTATATGTTAGGTTAATAAATCAAACCAAAAAACAATTTCCATCAAAAAATTATTTTAGGACGTGCTAGTTCATACAAATTACATTATATAAATAATCCCCGGCCACACAAATGCTTTTCGTTCCATCCTTTTCTCCACCAAAAAACCAAATCATTTATGAAGTGATCTTCTCTTAGATTTATATGTATCCAATCTCTTTACTCTCTTCTTTGATTCTTTCACACAAACAAAAATAAATAAATAAATGTGTGCATTCATTTGGTCAACATACACGGGACGGTCCTAATGAGATTGTTGGTCCATTTTGAGGCTGTCGGGTATAGGGACTAGAGAGAGTACTTATAATTTAATTCAGTTCAATTCTCAATAAAACAGCCTTTACAATAGCTGCCCAATACAACTCTACATACACCTTGGAGGGTGGTGGTGAATGTTGACTACTCGAGTACCTTAGTTAGTGCCCTCAAATTGAAATCATAAATTTTTTTATGGGCCGGTGTACATTGCGTAGTTCGCAAAAATAAAATGTGTTAAGAGGATAAAATTTGAGTTCGATTTCTGCCAACTGCATTGGAGGCAACTATACTAAACATATGACATCTGCAAGTACTTGGTGTAGACTCAACTCTTTGCCACCAATCTACGATCAAAATTCAAGTTACTTCTTCTCAGTGACCGTCCAATCGGGGTCTGAGAGAGCCCTCGAGAATGGGGCTCATTTCTTTTTTTCATGAACTATTTCTCTAGCCTTAGTACTCTGTATTTTTTAGCCATTCAAATTGGGAGAATTATTTAATTAGAACTAAAATATGTTTAATATATTAAAGGGAGCAGTTCGGGTGAGATGCTTCGTTCAAAAAATTGATGCTTCCTACCCCTGACCCTCCCGGTAAATCCCCCACCCTCAGCGTGGTCGAAACATACCCCCGCATCTCCGTCAATTGCATGCCACAAGATTTAGCTGATTTTGGAGTTAAATTTTGACTTCAAACTCAACTAAATCTTGTGGCATGTAATTGAAGGGGTGCAGGGGTATATTTGTGTCGGACTGGGGTGGAGGGTTTACTGAGTGGTTAGGAGGGATAAGGATCATTAATTTTTTAAACGAAGCATCATATGAACCTCGTGTCATCCCAAGACATTGAATCTCAATGTCATGGGAACCAAGACGTATATTAAAATATGACTTCCAAATGTGTTTTTAGAAACAAAGACTAAGTTTGAAATACAAACACCATTATCAGACGAGCTTCAATTGAATAATATTTTTAAAATACTAGTTTTAGGAGCTAAAGTTAATTTCAGACCAAATCTAAAGATAGAATCCAACCGATCTTACCATATAATCTTATTAATTCATGGAGATTTTTCTATATAGTGCCAAAATATAGTAAGTTTGCTAATGTAGTACTATCTTCGTCCTAAAATCATCTTCCTACTTCTATTTTTTCTCCGTTTTAAAACTATGTTCCCACACATTAAAAAGGACGGTGTAAGGACTAGAATACCCTCACCATCTTATCACCACATTTACGCCACCACAACCTTATCCCTACTATTCGCCTCTTCTCTAAACCTAGATCTTCGCCCTTCGCTTAGTCTCTTTGTTTTGTTGTCTCTGCATCTCTCCTTCTTGCCATCTATGCATCTCTCCTTTTCGCCCTCTCTCCATCTTTCTCACATTCTCTTAGTGTCTCTATAAATTTCATCTCGCATAAAATCGTAGATCTAATCTTCACCCCCCACCTTCATATGGATTCTGCTATTTTTCATAATAGATCTCAAGCTGGTGTACAATTGGGGTACACCAACTTGGGTACTCTAAATTTTCTTTTTTTTCATAATATAGAAGAAATATTTTAGAGTAGAAGTTTTTTTACGGAGTATAAAAAATAAGTAAAATAATTTTTAATGATTAAAATAAATGAAAAAAATATCAAAAGTTCCAAAAATTATAACTTGTCAATGCAGAGCTTGTCACTCAACTTACTTGTCACACACAGACTAAATTATTTTTTATTAGTTGAAATAATTACATCACCGCGTGTCATTTTATTTTTGTCTCATCACTACTGATGATGCTCTTAAATGGATTAGCCGCATTCTTATGGTTTCCACAAACTAAGTCGGACAGTTAGTCTTTTAGAAGTAAATTAGATTTTAATCGCTGATAGACGGCAATAACAGAGAATATAATGAGTGTGAGGGGTTTGGGTAAATGGGGGACCACAATCCATGATACTGCATAAATAATTGTGGGACCCATGCTGTCAGCTACCCATGTGAATGCATGCCCTGTGAGAGGGAGAAAAGGACATGGCCCCACCAATGATAAAACAAAACAAAGTCCCCAGACAGACACTCACTCCCCCAGTAAAAAAAATGAATTAAGCTAGGGGTACACCAACATAGGGTACTCCAAGTGTACACCAAGCCAACACAGACGCACAAAGACATTTTGTGTCTGTGTTGCACAGACACTTTGTGTCTGTGTGCGTCTGTGTTAGCTTGGTGTACACTTGGGGTACCCCATGTTAGTGTACCACTAGCATTGCCTTAAAAGAATATGACTTTCGAATTCCAGTCGCATACACTATTTACCAGGTCCGGCAGGATTTATTCCCTCCCTTTTGAGAAGAACCCCAAAAAAAATAGTGGTAAAAGTTAAAACTACCTTCAATTTCTTCAGGTCTAATAAAACTCCACAATTCAAATTTAAGCAAAATAAAATAAACATAAATAAGGATATTCCCATTTTAATTTTTAGGATATTTAAAGGAAATATATTTTTGTATTGATTTTTTAAGAATACTTTTAATGTGGTAGATAAAAAAAAATGTGATAGGTATATTATTAATAAAAAAATATAACGTAATAAATAAGTTAAAAATTAATAAAAATGATTTTGTGGGACAAAATAACAGAAAAGAAATTTTTTTTGGGCCATGAGTACTTTTTTAGTCCATAAACAAATATACTCCACAATCATTTCAAATAATATAATTATGTCACAATTTATTTTATAAAAACTGCAACATAATCTTTAAACTTATAAATTGTTCTACCTCCATCATATGAACTTTTACATTTCCAAAAAGGTGAGATGGTAGAAATTTTTTATTTTTAATATAACTTTACAATTTTGTCCGTTCTAGGATACACTATGATAACAAATTAATGATTAATAAATGTGATGCAATGGTAGATCAATAATTAATATAATAAATAAATAATAAAAATAAAGAAATTTCAATTGAAACCGGAAATATTTTTTGAAATGGTTAAAAGGTGAACATTTTAAAAAAATAAGAGAAGTATATTTCTTAAAATTCCATTCAAATTTTCAAATCAATTAAGAACAACTTAAATTGTGACATATTGACCACAAATTAAATATAGTTTAAAATAATTAAAGACTCTTCGTCCAATATAAATCATATATTTCAATTTAGAATGTTTGACTGAATTTATTTTCAAATTATATTATATAATAATCTAATTTTTTATTATAATCACAAAATAATAATTACATATTTAAATATTATATCAAAAGATCTACTCCCTCCGTTTGCAAAAAGACTTCCCATTTTGATTTGGGGCAAAAATAAGGAAGTGTCAAATTATAGTTGATTTCCAATTTTGTCTCTGATGTGGTGAATAAAAGTAAAATGTGATGAATAGATTATTTGAAAAAAGTATGATGTGATAGGTAGGGTATGAAAAAGTAAAAGTAGTTTTTTAATACTCCCTCCGTCATATAATGTTCTTCCCGGTTCTGTTTACGAAGTTTGACCAACTCTGTTTTTAATTCAATTTATTTGATTGTAGATGTAAAATTAAAAAATAAAATTTATATATTTAAAAACTACATCAAAAGTTCTACAAAACAAGAGATGACAAGACTATATTATTTTATCAAAAATACTTAATGAAAATAGGTAAAGAAAGTGATTAAAATTTGACCGTGTGAATAGTAAGTGAGAAGAACATTTCAGGACGGAGGGAGTATAAAAAAGAAGTGTTTTGTTGGAAGTATTTTTGAGAACGGAAGGAGTATAAAACTAGTAATAACATGACTATATTTTTATTAAGAGGCCGGTTCAAATGACATTGAGAACCAATGTCATGGAATGACCCAGAGGTGCTCCGGTGCCCCGCTCGTAAATTTTACGAACGGGGCACCGAAGCACCCCCGAGTCATCCCATGACATTGGTTCTCAATGTCATTTGAATCAAGGTGTTTTAGTAAATGACTTACAAAAATAAGAAAAGAATGTGAATGAAATTTATCCTGTAAATAGTAAGCAGGCAGTTGAATTTAGAACAGACAAAATATTATAAAAATTTGATATTTCAAAATTATATTTTAAAATAAACTATATTTATATTATAATTAAATATACTACTTTTTACAATTCACCGTCAAAAATACCATAGTTTCATAAAAAATTCAAACTATGACAATCTTGAAAAAAACAAGGGAGTATGAGGCAAGAAGGGAATACCAATTTTTGTTGTGGCTACAATATTTTAAAAAAACAGGATCAAGGTATCAATTATAGGAAAATACTAGTCATGACCTTCATTTAACCTTTCCACATGCAAGTAAATAAAGTTACATTAAAGCCCTCTGAGGCACACAAAGTTACATTAAAAATCACCTTTCAATCTTTCATCATTCTTCTTCTCCCCCCCTCCTCTCTCCCTCTCTGTACATGTAATTCCCCTAAAATAAAGTACACAAATCTAACTTTGTTACCTTTGAATCTTCTTCATTATACACTGGTTTCCATGTGGGGGATATAAATTACAGTCCAAGTGCCAATATAAGCAAGAAAGACTCTCATTACACTTTAATTAATACAGTAATATATATATATATATATATATATATATATATATATATTTATATCTTCATCCCCCCCCCTTCTCTGAATTCTTTTTTTTACTGCATCATTTTCACCTATAACTATTAAAAATATATATAGTAAATATTTCCCTTTACAACCTGTGGTCCAACCAAAAGCCTCAGCTACATAGAGATGGGAAAGAGACTGAGAGATTACAGTGACAGGAAAACAAGAGAGAATGGTTGGGTCCCACCTTTTTTTTTGTTTGGTTTGGTTTTTACTTCATTTATGTATGCAAATTTGTATTAGTAGTGATATGTGTGTTGACTGACTGGTGGTGTTACTTGGTCACAAAACGGCGGAGACGGCGGTGGTTGCGGTGGTGGTGGTGATTGTGGTTAAAACTTGAATGGGTGGGTCTTCTTTACTTCCTGTTCAGGCATATAAAGCAAATGAAAATCAAACAAATTATGTTGGGTTTGTGTTGAGAAAAAAAACAACCATGCTTCACTTTACTCCCCAATCAATGCTTACCTAATCTAAGGAAGCCTAATTTGATTGTCTTTCTTGTTACATTCCAATGGCCCCTGACGAAAACCTGCCAAAATACAATCGATTACTAGTTCAAATCAAGATCTTATTTTCCTTTTGTAGTTCAGAAAACAAGCTCTATTGGGGTTTAGATGGTCAAGATGCACGTAGTCTTAGAGCGTGTTCTGTTCAACTCATATTCTTATTGGAATCGGATCAAACTAAGCTTTAAATATGACTGCAATCAGAACAAACCTGGCAACTTCAAGGTAACAAGCCTTCAATGGAGTTATGTCAAGTGAAGCAGCAGATGGTGGAAACAATGGTGAAGAAGGGATCAGATTGTTGGTGTTCTTGATGACCATGTTACCCGAAGAAGACGGCGGTTTCTCGGCTTCCCCAAAGTCACTACTGCTCAAGAAAGCAGACGCCGACGAATTTGCCCCCGCTTTAGGAGATGAAAATGGATTATCCGGGAGCGAATGTTCCACACTGCAGTTAATTAGAACGTGTCTCCGTTACAACCTTAACAAGGACAAATTTTTGATCTAGCAAGATTTACTTGTGCAAGTATTTTACCTTTCTGGTAAATCAGTTTCACCCTTGGTGTCTTTGTAGTCACCGCTTTCATCATATTTCGTCGTTTCTTTCTCATTTTCGGCGACATTTTCATTCGGCTCAAATTCCTTTTCAGTCCCCACGGCAGTGACTTGATTTACCATTTTAGCAGCATAACCATTCTCCAGAGCTATACATTACATTTATAGTACCAATGTATCAACATATATAATAATCAAGATATAATAATCAAGATTTTCCAAATTCCAAACAAAAAAAAGAGATATTACTGGTACCTGGGGAGAATCCGGTGGAAAATGCACGGTGATGACTGTTCCTCTTCACATCAAGAAGCTGCAGATTCATGAGTCTCCGGCTGTGCATTTCAATGGCTTGCTGCAAATCCGCTTGTTCTTCCAATTTTCTCCTCCACAACATGTCCTGGGAGGAGGGGTACAGTGCCCTTGCCCTCATCTGGAGATCATATGGGTCTCGGGCGTCCAAAGGCCCGAACTCCCCGCGCTCCATTTGCTCTTGTTGGTGTTGCTTCCTGTCACACAAAATTCAAACTTTTGAAAGAATGTATGAAGACTTGATAGAATTTTGGGCCGAAGCACAATAAAAGATTGAATTCAATCATTACTAGTTTAACTCAAAAGCTTGTAAAACCCATTCTTTTTCTCCTCAACTTTCCAATGTGGGATACTCTAACAAGACTAATTTCTTTACATTTAGAAGCACAGAAGTTCGAACATGCGACCTGAATTTCTCGGGGACTTTTCCTTTCTCTTTGTAGGGCTTCACGAGAACCCGAGCATCGCAGACAAAATGTGGGTTCCCCTTGGCAAGAATGATTTTAACAGTCTCTGCATAAATGAATGTCACAAACCCAAACATCCTCTTCTGCTGGTATGGTATCCTCACATCTTGAACAGGTCCATAATTGCTTCTCACATTTTCAGAAAACAAGAAAAACAAGAAATGTTAGCATCCATTAATGGTGATCAAAGGTCCAAAAAAACCAGAAAGCACAAGCAGAGCATAGAAATTAAGCACCTGAAATAGTTGGACACATCTTCTTCCTTGAAAGTACTGTCTGCTGGAAATGTCAAGTAAATCTGCCTTGAACTTGAATTATTTGCTCCAAAATTCATCCCAAGATCTCCTCTTTCGAACCGGGCCCGGCTAAACTTATGAACATCATCACCCATCATCAATGCTCCGGCGCCTCTGCAACCATTCAATCAACAATATAATGAACACTGTTATCATAATTACATGTTTTGTCCAAACAAACAGATCCTAAGATCTCACAATGAGTGGTAAAAAAATGTTCATGATGAGAAAAAGATTTTAAACTGTGACACTGTATACCTTGGGCTCTCAACTTGCTGCTGGAGGAGGAAATCCATGCATTTGTTGGGTGAAACAGGGGAGTAAGGGAAGCCAGAGGAGGACATGAGCTGAGATGCGGCAGCGAGACGGTGGTTGTGGTGGTGGTGGTGGGAGGAAGACTTGGATCTGAGAAGCTCGTGACACTGCTCCATCATCTCCAACTTGCTGGGAGACCCCACCATTCCTCCGTCCGGGCCCACATCGCCGTGAAGAAACCGGCAGCTGGTGCCGTTCTTGCAGAACCCTCTGGCGTAGTACAGGCAGGGCTTCCACCCGAACCCGCAGTTCGGCTCGTCGGAACCCAAACAAACGTCGTTCACCGAGCAGCTCCTCCGGTGAGGGCCCCATCCGCCGTAGAAATGGGCGGAGTCTCCGCCGTTCAAGCCCAAATCTTGCTGTGGGTAGAAGATGTCCGAGCTTCTCGTCCGGGCCAACTTCGGCGACCCATCGTTGAGGAAAGAAAGCTGATCCTGCAGCTGAAACTCGTCGATCAAATCCACCTCTCCGCCGGCGCCGGCGTAGAATGGAGGCGCGGCGGAGTTCATGGAGGACGAAGAAGACAGGGAAGCAGAGGAGAAAGGCGGAGCTCCATTAGCAGTAGTAGGGCTCAAAGTAGCCCAAGAAGAGGAAGTAGAAGACTGGGTATTTATGCTCAACGGCGACGGAATCCGGCCGGAGCAAGCCGAGGAAGACGAACTCTGCCTGGAAAACGGGACGGAAACGGAGCTTCTGAAAGGAGAAGGAGAAGAAGGAGTGGAAGGGGAGGTGTTGGGAGTTGAAAGGCCAAGCTCCATCTTCGTCTTCACAATTACAGACTGAAGCAATGAGTCAGTCCCAAAAGCCAGACGAATCATCTCCTTTTCGCCATGGTCGTGTATCAGAAGAAGCCCCATGATCTTAGATGCGTGTTCTGGTTCAAGACCTTGGATCCTCTGAAAAACCACTTTTGTTGCTTCATAAGCATCCATTATTTTAATTTCTTCTTTCTGGGTTTGGTGGCTAGCCAAGATTCCACAAACAAGAAGAAGGAAAAAAAACTCTCTTTTCTTGCTAAAGCAAAAAGAAAACAACTTTATAGCTCTCTTTCTTGGCCACAGTTACTTGAAGGTTAGCTAAAGACGAGCTGCTCTTTCTCTGCTTCCTGCAAGAACAAAGGTAAAAGTAAAAAAATTTGGGGTAAAAAGAAGAGTAAAGATTTGATTTTTGGAGGTTCCCTCTTAAGAAAGAAAGCCTAAATGGAGGGAGCAGCTAGTAGCAGATGAATGGATTGGAATCCAATAAAAAATCCATTGCTTTTCCAAATTGAAACACAGAGAGATGGGAAAAAGAACCCATAGTATACCCTCTGAAGATCCCTGTGCACAAAATCTTTCAATTTTTTTACCAGAAAAGAATGGTTCTTTAAGATAGTCGAAGCAGAAAATGCAGACCCATAAATAAAAAATAAAAATATGCAGTTAAAAAAAATTTCTTTCTAAGTTGAAAGAAGAAGTTGGTTCATGAGCTTATAGGGAACTAATAAACTTGGGATATGCTAGGGGTACACCAAATGTGTACCCCAAATGTACATCACTCTCCTTTCTACCATTCATTTTATTTTATTTTTATTTTTTATTTTTTTTTTGAATTTTTTTGTTTTTTTGTGTTGATGGAGGGGTCGAGGGGATGGGGATGTTTGGGGTACACTTGGTGTACCCCTAGCATTTTCCAATAAACTTACTACAAAGGAAAATGCTAGGGGTACACCAAAAGTGTACCCCAAACATCCCCCACCCCCTCCATCACCATAAAAAAAAGCAAAAAATTTCAAAAATAAAAATAAAAAATAAAAATAAAATAAAATGAATGGTAGAAAGGAGAGTCGTGTACATTTGGGATATACATATTTGGTGTACCCCTAGCATATCCCTACTACAAAAGCCAAACCACCGCCTTGGGATGCAGTGGTGGAAGCAGCAGCAGCCTGCAGGAGATGCAGTTTGACAGAAGCAGCAGCCTGCACAAAGGCCATCAAGAATTGCTATATTTACTATTTTAACCCTCCCTCTCCCCTCACCACATGCCCGGCCACCCCCCACCCCAGCTAGGAAGCACTTACTTTAAATTTTGAACAACTATGCGGGTGGACCCGATTTGACCCAACCTTCCTCTCATCTTCATCATTTTTCTTCTCACAAACATTATGTCACTCAATAATACTCCGTATATCTTTGCCCTCGAGTGAGGGTGAGGTCCTCCGTCCTTGCTTGAATTGTTACGAAATATTCCCCTTTCATTATTACTATTTTTTTCGAAACAAAGTGAAAAATTATTTTCATTTTATATTACATATTAATGCTATAAAATAAAAGTGTGATTCTTCTCAACCATATAAATTACTATTAGAGAAATTTATCTAAATAAGACTAAAACATAATGACTTTTTTAATATAGGACCATGTATTTTTATTTCCCAATGTAGAACCTTTGGTCATTACTAATTAGAAAAAGATTTAAAATTGGTTTGATTTGATTCGAAAAAGATAAATTGGACAAATACACCGTAATCAAATATCAAAATAAGAGTTTCATATTTTTAACTTTAATACTACCTCCGTCTCAAAAACATTTACACGTTTTGACTAAAGTAGAAATTAAGGGAGAGATAATTTTGTGTTGACTTTCCAAAAATACCCTTGATGTGATGGGTAAAAGTAGGATGTGATAGGTAGGTTATTAGGAAAAATGTATGATGTGATAGGTAAGGTTTGAAAAAGTAAGGGGTAAAAGTGGTTTTTTAATAGAAATGGGTAGGAGATTGTGGGACGCAATTTTTTTGAAAGGTGTAAATCTTTTTGGGACGGAGGAAGTATAAGATTACTGCATTGTGACAATTTGGCATTGTATATCAGTATTTCATATCATTTTTGGGTATTCTATTACTCCTAATTTATTCTCTCTGTTCTACAAAACCCTTCCTGTTTTGACTTTGGAGAAAAATAGGTAAAGTGTAATTTTGGTTGACTTTCCAATTTTGCCTCTGATGTGATGGGAAAAAGTAAGATGTGATAGTTTGGTTATTAGTGAAAAAGTATGATGTGATAGGTAGGGTATGAAAAAGTAGGGGTAAAACTGGTTTTTTAATAGAAAGTGAAAGTGTTTTGTGGAAAGCAAAAAAACAGAAGAGAAAGAGTTTTGTAGAACGGGGAGAGTACTTTTTTTCCTACTTTCTTCTCATTTTCTTGATGTGGATATTCTTCTCTTAACAATTTCTCTCAAATGGAGAGTGTTCTTGAATTGAAGTAAATAATTGATTCGATCAATTTTTTAATGTGTTTTAATCCAAGTATCTTGTGGTCAGTTCAGTGATCCTTACCTCATCTTAAATTTTATCATGGTGTCAAAGCATATTTTGGTCAACTTCATTTGTTAGGATATTCGTCTACACGTTCATTTCTAGTAGCCATGTTAGCTCATTTGTCCATGTAAAATACATATGCAACCACATGTAACTCGTTTAACCTTATCGCTCCTCTCGAAGTCCATTTCTAGTGGTTTGATACGAGATAGGAGGTCGAGGACGGGGCAGTGGTGGAGCATGTGGACGTGGAGGGGCGTGAGGAGATGCCGTGAAGGTCGGGTCGGGTGTCCAACCCACCGGCCTGGGACAAGGATTATGTTTAAATAATACTCCCTTCGTCCCAGTGTATTTGTCCAGTTTGACTTTTTCGAGTCAAACTGGACAAACTTTGAGCTTCAATTAAATAAAATCCGTAATGTATTTTAATGTAAAAATGAGTTTATTGAAATTATCATATCGAGAACTTTTAAAATTATATTTCATTATGCTAATATGCAATATAAATTGAGAGTAATTGTATTATAAGCTTCTTTGAGGGTTTCGTTTGATAACATACTTGAATGAATACTTGAATGAATATATCTAAATTATAAAGGATCACAAAAATAATAACTTCGGTATTACTTAAGACTAATTTAGAAAAATATCTTATTAGAAAAAATCATTTTCAGGTTTCTTAAAATTTTATAAAATCAAGTCCTCAAATTCTTTTTTTGGAGAAAAGGAGCATTTTTTTCTCTCACTATATCATCACTCTCTCACTGCGAGTTGAGAGAGTATAGACAGAGCCCGCATGGGTAGCTCAGTTGGTCAAGAGCGTGAAATCTTGGACCGATGACCAGGGATCGAATCCCGCAAGCGGCAGTGTGGGAGCTATCCAAAAATCCCATAAAGGGTGAGGAGGCTCCTTGTGCGCGGTGGACACGGGTCTAACGTTTTTGGCCGACTAAGTCACCATGATTTACATCCTCCACCATTCCTGTCGTTCAAGGGGGTGGGAGCGTTTGGGGTGGGCGATTCCACCTTTTGGACGGAGAGAGTATAGACAGAATAAGAGAGTGGGTGGGAGGCGAGTGTGTGGACAAATAGTGGATCCAGATCTGCTCCCAATACTGCGCATTATTGTGTTCTTTTTTTCTTTCTTGAGTAAATTGAACAACCTTAGAAACAAACGTGCAAATTTACCACGCACAAACAAAAATAAACTACAACATTTACTTTGTATTTGTTTAAGAATTCTAGGGTACCCTATATGTAAAGAAGCCAACTCAGACACACAGATTCAAAATGTTTGTACAGCACAGACATTTTGTGTCTGTCTGTGTCTGTGTTGGGCTGGGTGTACATATGGGGTACTCATGTTGATGTACTCTTAGCATTGCCCGTTGAAAAAAAATCTTTGATCTTTGGATAGCTATTTATGCTTTTTAGTCTGGAATATATACTCTTTGGATCAAATATATAATAAAAATATTGTTGCTTCATTGATGCACAACTTGACAGAATGTCTAAGAGGTCTATGGTTTGAATTCTAGTAGAGTACTTCTTCCGTCCCGTTTTAAATGGTCCATTTTGACTTTGGGACATATTTAAGGAAGAAAAAAAATAGAGTTGCCTTTCTGAAATTGGCATTACTTTTTATGAGGGGTGACGATGAATGAGAAGGTAAGGTAGAGAAGAGTGACTTGTTTTAGGGGTAGTTTAGGTATTTTACTCTCAAAAGTTTACGATAACAAGAAACAATCAACTTATTTTGGAACGGAAAAAAAGAAAATAGACAATTTAAAATGAGACGGAGGAAGTAATCTTTTTGGCCAATTTTCGCAAGAAAAAAATTAGTTCGACCGGTTGAACTGGCCGGTTCATACCGTTTAATACTAGTTCTGAGCATAACACGGTCCAATGGACTGGACCAAGCCAAGTCAACCTATGGCTCACCGTTTCTCGATCCGAACTGGCCGATCCGAATTGGTTTTCAAAACTATGATCTTACTTTTTTTCAATAGTTATGCATTTTTTATTTTTTTTATTGATTTATACATCTAAAAATAACATCAAAAATTAAAACAAAATAATCTAATAGATTTAATAATTTTTTTAAATTTTGAATTTATTCAATGCAAAATGCAAGAGTTAAGTTGAATTTAAAAATTCTAAAAACTACATTTCTCAATCCGAACCCAAAGTAACCTGAACCCGGAGTGACCGAACCTGACCTGACCGATCTATTTGCCATCTGTAATTACCTCTATTTTGATCACTATATAACTATATACTCCGTATGTGTGTGTGTACACACACACTAAATATAACAGAAAATCTTAATCATATTAGGATAAATACCTATAATAAAATAGAGTAAGGAAAGTCAATAATAATAATTGATGGGTGTATTCCACCCACAACCGGTCAACGAAGATGCTCGTATTTGCAACTGGTCGGGTTAATTTTCCATGATGGGAGACTTAAGTCGTCAGTAAAATAGTGTCTGGTGGACTCAAAAGTGGACCGGTATACTTCGGAAAATATACCGATCAAACGACTTTATTACCCTGTTTATCACCTGTTTCGAAAAGCTCATCCTTTGGAAGTCACCCAGTATGATTTTTAAGGTTGTGAAGTGTCGGCAGAAAAAGAGTCCAAAGGGGCTTGGACCGTAGCGATCAAGATCTGCGGAAGATCACTGGAGATGCTTGAACAATCCATCCAAAGTGCTACATGACGAGGGAGCAATCTTCCTCACTAGGCGACAAGACCGCTATAGGACAGAGGCAATCACCTCGCACCATCCTAGTAACGTGCACTAACGTGGGTGCACAACGTGAAAGGAAACCATGCAAGGATAGGCAGCGTAATATAAAAATTTTAACATCCTAACATGATTATCTTGTCCAGAATCACGTCCTAAAACATATAGTAGTAAGAAATTTATACCTTTCTCCGTAAGCAGTTAAAACGAAGAAGTCGTAGGAAGAGCGTTGAAAGTGCAAACGTAACCGTTCAAGCGTCCGGTCTCCAACTTTGACACACGAACAACGCCGGAGTCTACCACAATCTTTATGCTAGTAAAGATTATAGTAGTATAAAATATAAAGATTAAAATTTGGGATAATAATAATCTTGTATATTTCTATAGAAAATATTTCTAATAATATTTAGAAAATATTATAAATATTTTCTATACACAAAATGATATTAATGGAACACAAAATAATTTTTCTCTCACTAAAATGAAGTGGCCGAAAATTCCCTTGGACCAAATTGATGAATGTGGTCTATCTTATTCAAGTGAGAAAGTGGGTATAATAATGGAATTTAATCATGCATAAAATGACAAATTAACAAATCAATTACAAATCACTAATTTATCAATCAAGTAAGTTAATACCAATTTGTCAACCTT